CCACTGTCTTAGCTTGCTTTAAACAGAAGTTATAAACATGGCAGCGTACAGCTTATCTGTACAGCCTGTTCTACACCAGGCCCTACATGTGACAACATTTGAGTCTGAAAAGATGTGTCATTTTAAAAAGTTAACTACCAGACAGGCCCAGTGAAGATTACTACCAAGAACTAAAATCAAGGGCCTCAATGTCACCAGACAACCCTGGAAAAGTCACCTAGGCCGTGATGTGTGCGAGAAAGAGCTTTGGGTAGAAGCCATCAGATGCTTGCCCTATACACCCCGCACCCTGAACACACTCCCAGCCTCATTCTGGGCCCTTCTGTCCCAGTTCACACAACAGAGGGAGTAACTCAGCAGGAGGAGAGACAGCCTGGCAAACCAACGCAAATCCCTCTCCAGTCAGAAAAAACACATTTCACTAGATCAGGAGTGGGAAAGAAGCTCTGGAGCTTAGCAAGTAAAAATGAACTCTCCCTCTGCAATCTAAAAGTTGAGGCAAAAATGAGCAAGTCTGGGATCCTGGGCACAACGCCCAGCTTTGGAGTAGCACTGTCCAGGTTCCAAGAAGTCGCTCCCCAAGACCTAGGATCAACCAGTCCTCTTCCTTTCCTCAAGGCAAATAATGCCATGGTCAGTGGGTAACCTACACCACCCTGATACAGAACACACCACACTGGCTTAGAGAGTTGGGAAGATGCCACCCGGCGTAACCCAGAGCATGAAGCTTCTACACAAAGCCTGTGTGCTGCTCTCACCACAAAGCAAGAGACGGCAGGTCACAAAGCATCCGTCACCCACAGGGAAAACCCCAGACACACCAGACCTATGTGTTCTGACGTCCTCCTCAGAGCAGAAAGCCTGGAGACCTTCCCCACCTACTCTCCCAACCCTACAGAGCAGTGCAGGGAAGCAGAGGCAGAAACCCTAGCCCTGCCAGCACAGCGCAGGCGGGTGAGCCACTCTACCACGCAGGAAAGTATTCTACCTTAGCCCAGCACACCTTTCTTTACATTGGGGGAGAACCTCCTCAGCCCTATGTGGACAAAGCTAACACTGAAAATGCAGCCCAGAAAAACAGCCCCCTCTCAGGTGCACCTAGGACCACGAGGCACACAGCTTACATTTTACCCTAAATGCAGTCACTGCAGATTGTAATCCCTCCCCACTTGGTGTTGGACTCATTCATTTCATAAAATGTGTTAAACCTACATGGTGAACACAGAAGACACACCTACGAGAGCTTCCTGGGTCAGGTTTTTGTATAGTCAAAAGGAAAAAAGACAACTCCTCTATACCCAAGCAGCCCTGGCTGACTGGAAGGGAGAGAAGCCTTGGAGAGAGAGCAGGGCAGCCTGCGGAGAACAGAGGACTGAGGGAGGGCCCAGAGGATGAGCAGGCTGGCAGCATGAACAGAGATGGACTCCTGACGAAACAAGGTATTATTCATAAAATTGAAACAAGTATTAGCAGCAGTGTGTGAGGGCCACGACAACCCCAGGCTAATTCAGACTTCACCCACCTACAGGGTAAGCAACCAGTGAAGCACCAAAAGCAAAAGGATCACTCCGGGGCTCTGGTTGGGTCAGCCGAGGCTTAGACGAGAGACTACACTGAGCCCATACCCAGGCTTCAGTATGAAATACATTTGAAATTTCTGCTCCAGGAACAGCTTACATCAGCCACATTCCTGAAACATTAAAATGTAATTCAGACGCATGTTGTTCCAGCAGAAGTTCTCTGGAATCTGAGAGGCTAAAGGAGGGAGGGCAGCACCCTGGCTGTCTCCAATGGCCACGGGGATGTGCACGACAGCAGGACACACGTGTGGCAGCAAGAGAAGGTGGAAAGGAGGTGATCCAGAAGGGCCCACGCAGGAAGCAGCTGCAACTAGAATCCCAAGAATGAAACTAAGCAAAGTGAAAAACCTAAGGAAAGGCTTGGAGGGGCGGTGTCCAAGAAACAGAAGAAACAAGGAACAATCAAAACGATGAACTGGACCAAATGGCATTTGGTCCATCAGAAATATTACAAAAAATAAATTTATCTACGTTTGCAATAATGTCCTCATTTTCAGACTAGAATTTGAGAAAGTAAGGACAGACACTAACTTAGCACAAGCTTCTGTGCCTCCACTCTTCCTTTTTTTTTTTCCTTTTGACAAGAATGGGTTGGGTAGATATCAGGAGTTTGTTTTTTGTTTTAAATTGGAAAGTCGGATATACAGAGAGGGAGAGAGACAGAAAAGGAGATCTCCCATTCATTGTTTCACTCCCCAAGCGGCTGCAATGGCTGGAGCTGTGGCAATCCAAAGCCAGGAGCCAGGAGCTTCTTTCGGGTCTCCCACGCGGGTGCAGGGTCCCAAGGCTTTGGGCCGTCCTTGACTGCTTTCCCAGGCCACAAGCAGGGAGCTGGGTGGGAAGCAGGGTCACCAGGATTAGAACCAGCGCCCATATGGGATCCCGGTGCATATGAGACCAGAACCCTAGCCACTAGGCCACTGTGCCAGGCCCTCCGCTATTCCTAATGCCCAGATGAGTGGGTGCCAGAGTAGACAAACAAGCAGCAAGCAGCAGAGAAGTGTCAAAGCCAAGCACTTTCACAGCCTCTGCTCACCAAGCACCCTGCAAGCACCGAGCTTCTCGCTACACGGGGCCACAAGCCCAAAGAACAGAACATCAGGAACTTCCGTCCTCACAATAATCAAAGCATCTCATTTCTTCCTGCAAATAGAGTATATTTTATGTATCTCTGGGTGTGTTTTCATGAAGTACTGGCAGTATAGGGGCTTACGATTTTAAAAAAGGGCACGGGGAGGAAAACTGTCCTCTCCTACAAGGAGACAGGACATGAGGGACATGGCATCTGACCACATGAGCAGACTGCACAAATCTCATGGGAAATATACTTCCTGGAAATACGTGTGCAACGCAGATTTCTTAGGCCAAAATCATGTCTGCCTCAGAATACCAACGACTCTTTTTCCAGGTCCCTCTAACTCCAAAAACCTCAAGCACTTCCCCAGGAGCCAGTGGGCAACTCCAAATAAAGGACCTCAATGTCCACTCACACCTCATCAATCTGGCGGATCAACTGTAAGCAAAATTACATTCTGCCGTATTTATCCTAATTAAGATGTTTCTAACTATATATGTTAGATTACCTTAAAAGTTATCACTTGATTTACAGACTACTCAACACTCAGTTGTTAACCTAGCTTTCAGTCACCAATGCCCTAAAACTACAAACAATTCAAATTACTTTCATGCTCTAATCAGGCTAGTGGTTTCCCTCAATATCTGATGTGTTTGCAAATCATCAGAGCACAAAACTTGTTTTTGCAGACTTTCAAGGGGTCCTATTTACAACCCAGTTCTACCTGCATAAATTATAAGTATGAACTCTAATAGTACCATACCAGATGAGCGCTACATTATGAATTTGCTGGAAGATTATTTTTCTATGAAACTTGCTTTTCAAATGCTCACAATTTAAATATCAAATTATAAATAGTCCTTCCTATAACTATATCATGATTAAATCCCCAATGTTCAGGAACGTAAAAAAAAACATGGGTTGAACAGAATCAACTCAAGAAATACAATGAGAGTTGGAGGGCAATCATTTATCCAAGGACAGAGGCTGGCTTGACCTAAAATACACTGCGACATCAAGATTTCTAAGACTCCTGGCTTGTGTATTTCTTTAGCCTCTTCTCAAATACATGAGTATAATACAAAACCATATTGTTATGGAGTATGGAATGAGTCATAAACCCACTTGATGATGGAAATCAAGGACAGAACACTAACACTCCCATGCCCTAAAATTGGTCTGACAGACTGTGTACATCTCGAGCCTGTTTAAAGGAAAAGTCTAATTTGACAAGAGCTAATTGACCTCATTTCTGCCCAAGTTCCTCAAATTCAGCAGTCTATTCCACTACACTAGAGCTGTAAGATGCATCCACACAATATATCCACACCTTCTTCAAATAAATGTCCTTATTCTTAACTTGTCAGAAGCAATCAGGATTAAAGGCAAAGCAAAAAAGAAGCCTTTTCCCAATCCTGCGCTTGGATGGGGGATTTAGGGGGTAACCTAGGTTTCCTAGGCCACAAGAATCTGTACGGGCATTCACCTCAATGACACAGAAGCGCTATCTGACTACCAGGTTAAACACTGAAACGACCTACATTACAGCCCAGGAATATGAGCTCTGAACGGGCCCCAGTAGCTCACTCACTGCATCGACCTGCTCAGCTGCGTCCAAGATCCAAGCTAGCCATCAGTCTGACTTTCCATTTTGTTGAGTATTATTCTATAGCAGTGTTAGATGCTGTCATGTCCCAGTTCTACTTGGAAGTCTGAACTGGAGAGCAACACACCACACTCACTACCTTCCCCAGGCTTCTCCAGAAACACTAGCACCCCTGGGGACGTAGGCCTGCAGCTGACAGCCCAGCCTGCGGAGAGGGTCATGGTCTCTGGCTGCCCTTCTGAGGGCCCTAGCAAAGCAACAGGACTTGAGGGTGGCAGTCAAAAAGAAAACTGCCAGCTCTCCCATCTATCCGCTTTCCCTGTCAAAGGCAGTTAGTTCCCAGTCTCCACAGGATCCTGGCAATTACTGTCTTACCTGCTTGTCCCCAAGGAATTGTAAGTTTAACAATTCTCAAGACACAAGAACTTCCTGTGACTCAGAGTATGAAGATATATACAACATAGAAGTATAAATTAGTAAATTCTAGCCAATGTTATCTGTTATCATCACACCCATAAGCTCACACTAACTCTGAACATGTTTTTTAGGATGGTCTGCTGACAGTAACTGCCCACGTGAAGTCCTTGGCTTACATTCTAATGAAACATTGCTAGAGCAAGTGTTAACTGCAATGGACAAAAAACAGACAATAAATCTGGACCTAAGCCTACTCGTGAAAATGGGTCCACAGGCACATTCTTAACCATTTTTCCAAAGAAATATGTTTAAACGGCTTTACCATGCAGAGCTATGGCTTCCCGGAAGGGCTGCAAATCAGTCTCTACAGATGAGCTAGTTTCCGTTGAAGTAGCTCGGTTAGGGGACACTACAGTCAATCGTGGGGGAGCTCTAGAATTGCGTGGTGGAGGAACCTTGCCACACAGGAAGCTGATCAGATCTTCTCTGCGAATAGTTCTTCTGCGTTTTTTGACCCAAGCCAACACATCCTTATTGCGTCGCTGATAGCCAATCTGAATTCCAATATCAAAACTTCGTTGATGGGTATCCACGCTCTCTGTTAGAAAAGAAAAAGGATACATGATGAGCACTAGCCAGGCACGATTCACTTCAAGCCAACCATCTTACAAGTTAGCCAAGATGAGCAGGGGCTTCAAGTCTGTAGTACTGAGCTGAAATGCATCAATGCATCCCTGTCACCTTAGAAATGCAAGGTTCACACACAATATACTCCAGAGCTTTTCTTGTTCTTTAAAAAAAAAAAAGTGATCGCATGCCTTACTTAATCTAGCGTAAGAGCACTAAAGAACAGCGTAACTGTCAAACGTGCATTGATACCGTATTAGCCACACCTAAGATCCTGCTGACCTGAAGTCTCCCTTGTCCCTTCACTGCCAACAGGGAGACAGATTGAGTAAGAGGAACTACCAAGATCACAGGACAAAAGCAGAAGCGCAGCTCTTAACTACTCCTCAACAGATGACTACACCACGCACGAGGCTCGGGTCTTGCTCACCCATGCTGTCATTTGGAGACACAGTCCCACTGACAGGTTCACTGCACCAATTAGCAACACGCCAAAGGCAGTGGGAATTAAGAAATAGTGAGGAAAACTCATTCTGATCGACTACAACACCAAAACTAAACACCAGAGTAGAAATAAAGTGAGTCATCCATTTCCCAGGGTATATTCGTTCATGCTACTTGCAGTACTCAAAAGCTTTCTGTAACTCACAACCATTCCAACACACATTGCCTTAAAATTTTTGATTATTCTCCCTGTATCTACTGAACCTGAGTTTTTAGTGAGATGACCCCTATTCTTTTGTGGTTTTAAAAAAACTATCTGAAAATGTAAGCCACTAGTTATTTTCAGTTGAGTTGCTATGGCAACAGAAAACCAATGTTTTCCTTTATTTCTGAATCTTTAAAAACATCTGCACGTAGCAGATACATCTCTCTGCTACATTTCCTGGTTTCAGCTATCTTAATTCCTTGTCAGCTACAGCTGAAGTAGAGTCTGAAAAGAAGGACAACAACGAATAAAGACCTGTGTTCCAGAAAAAGACAGTCACCCACCCAGATACCACAAAGGATCTGAACTGAATAGACATGTTGCCAAACACACCAGCAAGGGCAGCGGCACAAGCCAATCGTTTCAACAAGGCTATCTCTTCAGCAGATGATCAGTCTGTATTGCTAAAGATTGACAGAAAAATGGAGTTATCCATTGCAGGCCAGCACTATGGCGTAATGGGTTAAACCACGCCTCCAACGCCAGCATCCCGAGGACACCCGAGGACACCTGGCTGCCCCACCTGCTCCAGCTCCCTGCTAGCACTCCTGCGAGAGCAGAAGATGGCCCAGGTGCTTGGTGCCTTTTATAATTTTTTTTTGTTTTTACGTAAACATTTGAAACTGAATTCAAGAGTCCAGAATCTAGTTCTCGCACCACTTGAGGGCACAGGGAGGCTAAGCCTCACATGGAGTCTACTGTAAAGATTAAATGCAGAACTCTAATGCACAATACAGACATTCTGTTGCTCTATTTAGTTACCTGAAATTCACAAAACTTGGCGACTTAGCCAGAACAGGTATCTCAATGTCATCAACAGGCTGAGGCTTGAAGGATCTTTCTCCAAGTCAGCTAAGTGGCAATTACTCCTACAACCTGTTTCTTTTTCCTTGGCAAAAAAGCAGCTCTTACTCTGCTTAGAGAGTAACTAACCATAAAAGCGCACTGTTAAGTCAAAACAAAACTTCCAAGAACTACTGCTCACTATAAATATTTCCACCTAAATTTTTACTATCAGACTGCCAAAGGGGGAAAAATAATGATATTTCATTAGCATCACAAACATTTGACTCACAGCCAAAATAAAACTATTTGCAAATTATTTTGAGAAACTCCTACACATTTCCTAACCAACTGGCATCCAAAAATAGGTACCATCATCCTGATTTACTCTTCATCTAGCACACACAGCAAACGGGGGGCTAGTGCAGGGAGGCAGGGAGCGCCACACCTCAGTGCCGCCATCCCAGCTGCTCACTGCAGAGCCCTCTCCATATCCTGGTGTTCTACAGTCTCCAGCGCCAATCAGCCTAGGGACAAGAGGCAGCAGGTGGGGAGACAACCCCCAGGCAGGGGAGCCTGAGGCCCGGAACTCAGTCAACTCTACCTACCGCCTCCCACGCACCCGCCACTGCCAAGGGACGGCACACGCTTCACAGCCTAACTGCCCTTTACTGGAAACACTGCCCAGCACGCTGACATACACTGTACACCAGGCACAAAACTCAGCTGGTACTCTAAAGTCCGCGTTCTGGTAGTGGGTTACACTGCCACCTGTGAGTTAGGTATTTTTTTTAAGATTTATTTATTTTTACTGGAAAGGCAGATATACAGAGAGAAGGAAATATACAGCAAGATCATCTGTCCACTGGTTTGCTTCCCAAGTGGCTGCGATGGCTGGAGCTGAGCCAATCTGAAGCCAGGAACCTGAAACTTCTTCCAGGTCCCCCACAGGCAGATGTGGCTGCAGGGTCCAAGGCTTTCCCAGGCCACAAACAGGGAGCTGGATGGGAAGTAGAACAGCCAGGATATGAACCGGCGCCCCATGGGATCCTCATGCATGCCTGGTGAGGACTTTAGCCATTAGGCTACCATGCTGGGCCCACATGTTAGGTATTCTTGAGTTCTGGCTGCTCCACTTCCGATCCAGCTCCCTGATAATGCACCAGTGATAACAATGCAAAAGGCTCGCGTACTTGGGCCCCTGTCACTCACAGGGGAGACACAGTTGAGTGCCGGTCCCTGGCTTCAGCAGTTGCGCTCATTTGGCAAGTACACCAGCACCCAGAAGAATGTCTAACTCTACCATGAGGACAGAAGCCCTTGGCAACGCTGCTGGAGTAGACACTGCAAGGCAGGAAGCAGCCTAACGTAAGCAGCGGCACACAATGCTCCAAGCCTCACAGGCCTCTCAGCAACTAATGGTTCAAATTCATCTTGGAATGCAGCCATGGAACTCAAGAATCAAGAGAAAGTGGTAAATAATACCTGAGAAAGAATAATTCCAGAGGCCACTCTCCCTGCCATAAGCCAGGGCAGGCACTCCAGTGCAGAACATCTGGGACACCAGCTCCCACTCCAGGCAGCCTCCAGGCCCCACAGCGGCCTCCACAGGTACCACCTCAACAGGGCTACACTCCTCTCCCATCCCGGCCACTGAGCAAGAAGCCCCAAGCAGGATTCTAGACTCAGGTAAGACAAAACAGCTTCCCGCTGGGGCATCAGGAGCAGACACCCAAAGAAATGGGAGGTGGACTTGAGAAGCCAGCAGGCTGACCAGGTAGGCATCAGCTCTCTTGCTGCATTATAGATACAAGACACACACCAGGCCAACCACACAGACGTCCTCAACGGAGAACAGCAATCAGAATGTCTCATCCCTTTCCAAAAAAGGATCCACCATCTGAAAAAACAGGTACCCCAACTGCCTCAGGAAGGAAAGACCCCAGCATACATTCTCTTCCATATCCTTCCATATTCACATTACCCCAAATGAAAGTTCAACTATCCAGAAGCCTGCTGACAACCAACTGGGCCCCAACTGGACCCTTCTCATTCTGACCCAAGGTGCTCATTTCGGCAGTCATCAAGCCCTCCCCATCCCGCAGAATGCCCCATCTGAACCTGCAAGACGACTGACTACACAAAACCAAGGCATCAGCCCACTTCAAAGGATCCTCAGAAATCTCCCTGTCACTTACAACCACTATTTAATGTTAAGCCCACTTAGGACACCACCACACTAATTCTCCTGGCTCTATTTAAGATCAACAATTATCCCTAACTCACTACAGGCCAGTCCTCTGAAGCCCACACCCTGGGAAGGAAGGCCGCGAATGGGGTACCACCATACTCCTCTGGAATGGAGGCAAGGGATACAGTGTGGCTATCCAAAACAAAGATGTTGCACTGGATAGAAAGCAGATACAAAATGTAACTAGTTCACTCACAATCCAGTACTGACACAGTAAAACACCACAGAAGGCTTACTTAAAATAAATGCCACTCAAATTTTGTGACCAAAGAAAACTACAAAATCCTCAGGATTTTCAAATGAAATCAAATCTGCAAGCATTTCAGAGTTCAACTCTGAGCTCATCTTCCTGTACTGTGAATCAGCAATGGACAAAGCCAGCCAGCATTAGTCCTAAGGGGAGACATTCGGGATACAGCAGCACGAGAGTCCAGGTCTCGCCTGTGTCAGTCTAAGCCAAGAGCCTGGCACCCTGAAACCACTGAAAATGTGTCCTTTTCCCCTTCAAACAAAAAGGTTTCAGCAGCAACAAAAAAATATTATCCTGCAATAAAACCAGAACTGAACTATCAGTAACTGCAATGCAAATTAAATAGAACTCAAAAAATACATATACTTTTCTAAGTAGAAACCAGCCACAAATAACTATACTGCACTGGGGTGCGTCACTGCCAAGGCCACTGTACCCAGCACAACCAGGTCGGTGACTGCCAGGCAGGACGCAGGGAGATCGCCACTGGCCACTAATCCAAGAAGCTGATTTTGCTTCCTGTAAATTACACTCCAAGGACCTCAGGTTTTTAAAAACTAAGATGCAGTACTAGATCAAAACCCCATTTCTAGAAAGGGAGTCTGGAGCCACTCCACAGCACTCCCTCCACCCTCAAGCATGCAAGAAACAAAATCCCAAACACTCAGCCGCCTAAGATCAAAGCTGCCAACAAGGGCACCATTTAATTATGCGCCCCCCCAGGCTAGAGTACTGGCTCCTCAGCCCCCCAAAACGAGCATTCCTCCTCACCAGTTTGTTACCGGTTCTCACATTACTGCCCCCGCCCCCCAAAAGCCAGGATGTCCACTCACGTATGAACCCCCCAAACAAGGTTGTTTGTCCCATAGAACGCTGCCATGCCTTGCAAACAGGCGCTCCACTGCCCGCTTCAACTGAGCTGGGCGTTTCTTACATTGCCAATTCCCAGAAATGCACAAAGCCGGCCAACATTTGATATTCTTACTGCGATCTAGAGTTAAACTCAAATCCCATTTCTACAGAACCTTACCAAATACCAAACACACATTTCCAAATCTCCAAAGTCAGTAAGGCACAGAATCTCAGCCTGTGGTTCCCAGAAGCCCACAGGCGACCATCAGGTGCACTGACATACCTTCTTGTCAAAGGGACTCCAGACAGGCACCCCCAAAGACAACCCTAGCCATTTCAAAGCAACCATGGATTCCCTGCCAACCACGGACAGATACAACACGGCTTCTAAGAGAAGCAGCTGATGAGAAGAGCTTCCTGGATATGTGCACGGCCCAGGTGAGCAGATTTTCAAAGCTCTTAATCGCTATTTAATTGCTCTGCACCAAGCAAACGCCACCCAATTCAAAATCTCCTCCCAGCAGGTCCCTCTCCTCGGTCTGTGGTACAAATTTTAAGAAAGAAAAGCAAAACCAAACCACGAAGCAGCAGCTCCCCTCCCTCGACGCCTGTTCTAAAGAGAAGCAGGGTCTCTCACCTGGCAGCTCCTGGCTCCCCAAGGCTTTGGGGCCTAGCTAACTGCTGGCTGAGGGGGAAGGGGCCAAGGGGCAGCCCGGAGCCGCAGCAGGGGAACCTCTGAGCAGCAATGTCTCCGGGACATGGGGTGCAGCGGGGTGTCCGCACCACACCGGGGAGCCCCGCCTGGCGCCGGGGGCAGGGGCGGGGCCTGCACCTGGACCAGGGTGCCCGTGGCCCAGGACACCAAAGCAGGAAGAGTGTCCTCACCTTTGTAGAGATTGGTCACCGCGGTGGCTGCGTTTTGGAAGGGAACCCAGAGAGAAAGTCCTGGCTGCTGACACACACGGTCTGAAAACAAAACCAACCAAACAACAACAACAAAAAAAAAAAAAAAAAGGAGAGAAAAGGGAAAAAAAAAAAACAAAACAACACAGAGAGAGAGAAAAAGAGAGACGGAATGTTATTTGGGCGTCAATCACTCCGGAACGGCCATATTAGGTTTCGCCATTTTGTTCAAGGGTTTCGGGAATCCCAAACTAAGTGAGAAAGAGCTGAGCAGGCCGCCGGGGTCGCGGCGCGGTGGGCGCGGGCCGCGGCGGGGGCGCAGCGGCTGGCAGGGGGGCGCCCCCCGAGCAGACCCCGCCCCGAGGCCGCCTCCGGACCACAATAGCGCCGCGGCCCCGGCGCGTCCCTTCGCCATTTTGTGATGGGGGGGCGGGGAGAGGAGGGAGGAAACCCCGTTAAGGTCCCTCCCCGGCCCTGGAGACCCGCCCCGGGAACATCGGGACCCCCCGGCCCCGCGACCAGCGGACCCCAAAGTCGGACGATCGCCGCCCCCTCCCCGCCGGCCTCGGGAGCCACCCTCCCACCCCCCAGCCCGGGGAGGGGACAGGGCCACCCCCCGCCCCCGGTCGCCGCTCCGCGGGGTCGGAGGCGTCGGGGCCCGGACGACACCCGCGGCCAGCGCCTCCTCCTCCGCGGCGGCCGAGGGTGCGGGCGGGGAGCGGGGAGCCGGGTGCGGGGAGCGGGGAGCGGGGCTGGGCCGGGCGGCGCCAAGATGGCGGCGGCCTCACCTTTGTAGAGCTGGGCCACGGCGGTGGCCGAGTTCTGGAAGAGGTGCCACAGTTTCTGCTGCTTGTGCTCGGGCTGCGCGGCCGCCGCCGCCTCCTCCTGCAGCTCCGGGGACAGCTGCTCGTCCTGCTCGGCCTCGGCCAGGCACTGACGCTCCCACTTAGAGAACCAGTGCTCGGGCCCGTGCTCTTGGATCTCGGCCTCTCCCTCCTCCTTCCGCTCCTCCATCCTCCGCGGCCTCCCGCGGCCTCGTCGCCGCCGCCGCCGCGGCCTCCTCAGGCGGGGCCCCCGCGGGAGCGTCGTCGTCGAGCGGCCCGGCGCTGGGGCCCGGCGGCCAGCGGCGGCTCCTCGCGGCGGGGGCGACGACCCAGGAGGCCTCAAGCACCCCGGCCGGCCCCGCGCAGCCCGGGACGACCCCCCGCCCCGGGCTTGCCTACCGCCACCACCCCCGGGCCCGGCTCAAGGTCGCCGCGGACCAGACGACGAGCACCGCCTCGCCTCTCGCTTCGCCTCGCCCGCCGCCCTGGCCACTACCGTCCCCCCATGGCGCCGCGGCCTGCCTAGAGCCGCCGCCGTGGACCCCCCGACTTCCCCGCGCACGCCGGCCAGCGCAGCCGAGCCCCGACACCGAGCCCCGCCGCCTCCGCCGCTGCCGTCTCCGTCGACGCCTCTGCGGCTCTGGGCCCCCGCCCTCCCCCGCCCACATGCTGACAGCAGAAGGACCGCCCCCTCGGGCCCGGCGGCCCGGCCCGGTTGGGGCGCGCCCGCTCCGAGAGTCCGCATTGGTCCGATCCGACCGGTTCCGCGTGCCGGCCCCTGAACACAGCGCGAGGATTGGCTCGCTGGCTTGTCGGCCTGACGTCACCACTGGGCGGGGTGAATGGAGTGAATGTCAGAAAAGATGAAGAGGAAGGAGGAGGGGGAGGAGCTGACAGTGGTAGCGTCCGAGCCGACCTAGCGAGCGCTGGCGGCGGGGGGGGGCGCCGGGGGGGGTGCGCATGCGCGCTCGCGGCCGGGCCCGGCTGCGGGGCGCCCGGCGGAGGTCACGTGACCCCGACCGGCGACCGCACCCCGCGGGGCTGTTCCGGCGCTTCCAGGCCCTGTGAGGGTGGAGAAGGGGGACGCCCAGCTGAGCCCGGCGACTGCGCCGCGGGCACGGAGGGGCGTGGCGGCTGGCCAGAAGTTTCTCCTGGCCCTGGGGCCTCCGAAGGGAGTAGAGAAAGTGGGGATGGGAGAGAGGGAGAGAAAAAGCCCTGCTGGAGGCCCAGTGGCCACGCGCTTTCCGTGTTTTTTTATGTCGAGACCCGTTTCTTGACTGGAAAGTGGAGCGTCAGAAGGCCCAGAGAGCCTTGGAGTGGCGAGGCCGAGGAGCCCCTCCTCAAACCCCGGTCCACCCGCAGCCTAAGGGGAGGAACGTGGGGGTGCCGGAGCGGCCCCCGCACCTGTCCCCGCAAACACACTCCCGGGCCGGACCTCGCGGGTCAGCCGCCCGGCCACCCTCCCGGGGACGTCCGCTCCGTCGGGGTCGGAGAAAAGGGGCGGCGGGAGGCCCCGCTAGAGGACCGCCACGCGTGGCAGGACGTGGTCAGCTGGCCCCGGGCTGCCCGCCCACCCAGGCCTGCTCCTGTGCCCCCCACCGAGTCCCCCTGTGCCCCGACCCAGGCCCGGCTCCCCGGGGGCTCCTGTCCTGTTGACCTCCTGGAAGCCAGGCCCTCCTGTCAGCTCCCCGCCACCTGAAGTGACCTCCTTTATTCGCAGTTCCTGGAGGGCTAGGATCCCAGGGAACCTTGCTGCTGCTTGAACAGGGAGAGAGAGAGGATGGAGACAGGGGGCGCAGAAGCAAGGGTGAGTTTTGGGGTTCCTAGGGGGCCGGAACCAGGCAGGCACTGGTCCATTTAGCACTTGGAGACACAGGGCTTGGGCCTGTCCCAACCCTGCATGCACGCTAGGCACGTATATTGTATGGGAAAAGAACGTTTCAATAGCGCTTACAAAAAGGAGGACCGCATGGGGGAAAAAAAATGACCTATGTTTTGTGTTTTTATTAAAGATTTATTTATTTATTTGAGGGTTACAGAGAAAAGTATCTCCCACCTCTTCGTTCACTTCCCCCAAATGTCCACAAGCCTCGCACTCCATCCAGCTCTCCCTCCTAGGTAGCAGGGACTCAGACTCCTCTGCCTCCCCAGGCCGCTGGCAGGGAGCTGGAGCAGAAGTGGAGCAGCTGGGACCCGGACTGCGCTGCCGTGGGATGCCGGCATGGCGGCCAGCAGCTCTGCAAGGTGTCAGAGGCTGGCCCCTGTTCGTGTTGTCCGGCTGAGGTGGCCTGAACGGACTTAGGAACACAGTTTGGTGGATGGGGAGCAAGGTAAGGGATGTTCATGCGAAGCCAGCTGACTGCTTGTTAAAACTTTGACTTGGTTCTTACTAAAGCGGCACGCTAGCAGGGCCACCTCGCCCTGGTTCTGTGAACACGGAAGTCATGACCGCTGCTGCTTAGCTGGGGTCAGCTCGGGCTCACCCGCCTCCCGGGTCTGCTGCCAGGAGCTGTGAGAACCATGGTGCCCTAAGCCCTTGTGTTTCCCACAGCCCTTGGTCTCAAGAGTTTTGGTTTAACGTGTGTAATCGAAAGTTTTCTGGGGCCTGCCAAGGCCTTAAATGACTTTGGGAGACAAAGCCACTGCCACGTGCGTTTCCGATGTTGAAGGTTGATTGCACGGGGAGAGTGATGGGAAGAGACAGGCGTAGTGTACACTTCGGTAAGCCAACTTTTCTAGTCTGCCGTTGATACGTCTTCTATGTTCATTGCAACTCCTTAGATAGGTTACATTTCAGCATCTGAATTTTGGACTGAGCTTAAAAAGGCCTTCCACTTACCAAATTCTTTCTCAAATCCCATTAAATGCAAAATGAAATAGCACAGTTTTCTACCCTTCACGGCTACCCTGTAGCAGAATCAAGGCACACGTGACACTGCAGGGATTAGCTGTAGCAGGCAGCAAAAGCAGACTCATCCTGTGATTATGGGGGAGAAGGCAGAGTTAGACCTGAGGGTCGGAGTCCACGGGAAGGGGCGTGAGGGGCAGGTGTGCAGCCTGGCACCTTGGTCACCTGTGAAGATGCCTGCCGCCCAACGGCTCTGAGCCCGACTCCAGCTTCCTGCGGAGGCAGTCGTACCGACTCAAACCCAGGTTAAGTTCCCAAGTCCCAGCTTCAGCCTGGTCCAGCCCAGGCCATACAGAATTTAGGTGGGGAACCAGTGGAACTCTCTTACGCTCTCTCTTGCCTATGTGTGTGTTAAATAAATTTTAAATATATGAAGAAAGTTAATAAAAAATATTTTCAAAAGGTGAAAAGATCAAGGATAAGCCTGTGATGGTATGAAGTTTTGAAATCAATACATTTTTTTCATAATACCAATTCCCCATGGATTTTTTGAAGGCTCTTCCTATTATAAAGCACAGAAAGTCAGTAAAATTAACAAGACAAAAAAATTAACAGGACAGAGACAGGCATTTAACAGCTAAGATGCCAGTTGGTGCGCCCACTTCTCATATCACGTTTTGAGTCCCGGCTCTGCTGATTCCATGAGCAGATCACATGTTTCCTGGCAGGTCGGACAGGGTGACGCAGATGTCTGGATAACCCCCTCCCCACGACCCTCCAGAGCAAGCCTGAGTTCTGGGCATCTGAGGAGTAAGCCAGAGGATGGGAGATGCCTCTGTGTCTCTCTCTCAGCCTCTCTGCCTTTCAAATACATATTTAAATATCATTTACATAACTATGAAGGATACCTGCTCATGTGGGTCTCTGATAAAGGTGGGGAGGGTAGAGATATGGAGGAAGGTGGGTGGATAGCTGTTTCAATTCTCTTTTTTTTTTTTTTTCTGTGCATACAGGGAGGTTGAATATATTTTTAAAATTTTTAATTTAAAAAATGTTTAATTATTGGGGCCGGCCTTGTGGCATTGTGCGTAAAGCTGCCGTCTGCAACATCAGTATCCTGTGTGGGTGCCGGTTCAAATCCCATCTGCTCTACTTCTGATCCAACTTCCTGCTAAAGACCTGGGACAAGCAGTAGACGATGTGATGACCCGTGTGCTGGGGCCCCTACCATCCGTGGGGGATGGCTGTGTGAAGTTCCTGGCTCTTGGCTTTGATCTGGCCCAGTTTGAGCCATTGAGGCCATTTAGGCAATGAGCTGGTGGATTAAAATCAAAATCTCATTCTCTCTGTTTCTCAACCATGTCTGTACCTCTCTCTCACATAAGTCTTTTCCATGCAGCCTGCATCTGGCTAAGCGGGCAGTGGAGAACAAGAGGTTCGGTCTTCCGGGAACATACCTTGCCCATTTGGCTGTTGTTAGGCACTGCTTCAGTGGTCACTCATGGCCTCATCTTTGGCAGCCTGGCTCAGGCCTGAAGTTTGTTAGCATGGGGGCTGCTTTGTGCTCCACCTGATTTAAATCAAGTTTACGAAGCTTCTGACCCTGACCTTTCCCTGTAAATACAGAATAACTTTTTCCTTTTTTTTTTTTTTAAGAATTCATTTATTTTTATGGCAAAGTCAGATATACAGAAAGGAGAAGAGACAGAGAGGTAGATCTTCCATCCAATGATTCACTGCCCAAATAGCCCAATGGCTGGAGCTGAACCAGTCTGAAGCCAAGAGCCAGGAGCCTCTTCTGGGTCTCCCACATGGATGCAGGGTCCCAAGGCTTTTTTTTTTTTTTTTTTTTTTTGCCATCCTCGACTGCTTTCCCAGGCCACAAACAGGGAGCTGGGTGGGAAGCAGGGCCACTGGGATTAGAACCAGCTTAGGATCTCGGCATATGCCAGGCAAGGACTTCTGCCCATAGTTCATGGGGAAGCACACAGCTCGTCAGTAAGAGAACCAGGGCTGTGGCTCGGGCAGTCTGTCACAGAGGGAAGCGGGCACCGGCGAGCATGAGACGTTCTCCTGGAGAGAAGGAAGTTGCTCGTCATTGAGAATTCTCTCTGCCCATAATCAGATTTTTCACCCAGCCAACTGAAACATCACAAGATATATATATATATATATATATTATATATATATAAAATATATATATATATTTTGCTCTAGAAAACTCTCCCAGTGACAGGAGAATGGACTTCAAAATGACCTGGAGGTGGTTCTAGGAATTGCTCATAGCATTACAGGCAGCTTTTAGAAGGGACCATGTTCAAGTCCTGGCTGCTCTATTTCCATCGCAGCTCCTCACTGATGTTCCTGAGAAAGCAGTTGAAGATACCCCAAGTACTGGAGCCCCATCATCCACATGGGAGGCCTGGATGGAGTTTTAGGCGCCATTCTGGTCATTGCAACCATTTGGGGTGTCCATCCTAGCCATCGCAGCCGTGTGATTCCAGCAGATTGAAGATCTCTTTGTGTCTTTATTTATGTGTTTGTTTGTTTGTTTATTGGTCTTTCCCTCTGTCATTTTGCCTTTCAAATACATGAATATTTAAGATATATATCTGGAAAATATTATTAACCTCTTTTCTGTAAGAATCTAGATAATATTGGCCAATTCTCAGAAGCTGTGAGGAAATAGTGAACTTTCCCAAGTGTATCCCAAAACCACTCCTGTAGTAGAATAATATACAGGTGTACATTAAGGTGGAGTCTGCTGGTCCCTTCCCCATCTCCACTCCATCCTTATTCTTTCCTGAGGTAGTCAAGAAGGCCATGTCCCCACCTTAAGGACTACAGTTCCCAGAATCCTCAGTGGACTACATTTTCCAGCCTTCTTTGCAGCTAAAAGAGAATGATGAAATAATGACAGGAAATCATACTGGGTGGACCTTCCAGGAAAGATATTTAAAGGGAACTGAGTTGGCTTGCTCTGCTCTTTTTTTTTTGCTTCCTCTTTTCTTTTGCCTGGGACACAGACAACATAGCCCAGGCTGCAGCCATGACTTTAAGGAAGGAAGCCATCGGTTAAGAATGGCGGAGCAGCAAGGAAGAAGCCCCAAGTGAACTGTTCTAAAGTGGGGAATAAGAAGCCTCCGCATTGTTATAAACAGTTGTGGTCAGATCCCCACCAGCTAAGCACAGCTCGTTACTCATCAGAGTCCATGGTGCTCACGGCCACATGCAGATTGCTCATGGAGAGACTGGAATTGACAGCCCGTTTGGCTTCTGCTGCTTTGGCTCTCTGTGTTCAGGCAACTTCTCATCACAGTGAGTTCTTTCCACTGCGAGACCTTGGCCTAGAACGGAAGCTGCAAGTCGCTGCCTGTTCTGAGGTAGCCACTCAGGATAAGAAGGTGTCCGTCATCCTGGCTGCTGTCTGACTGATGAATCACGTGCAATTAAAGTGTGTTTTCAGAAATGCTGCCTGTGGCCTTCCCCGTGGCAGCCAAGCTGTGGTTGCTTCTCAGCCAGACTTCCACACAGTGAAAGGGATGCCTCCTGGACCTCCCACTTCTGACAACCACATGGTACCCCATTTGCCCAAAAACGTGGCACAACCCTAAAAGCAAAAACAGACTTGGGCACATCAGCCCAAGTGAGCATCACAGCTGGATTTGCTTCTCAAGGAGCAAGATGGCTGTGTAACACAGCCATGCCGCTGAAGATGACAGAAACCCGGCCTACAGGTGAGGCCTACATGTCTGCGTTTGTCAGCAGCCCCCAGGGACACCCGTACTGTTAGTCTACAGACTGCATCTTGAGGAGGAAGGTGCTTCCTGGCTGTTCTCTCAACAAGGGTCCCCTTCTGTCGGACTGCTTCTAATCTCTCAGGTTTTAGCTCTGTTGTCCCTTCCTCAGATCTCAGCCAGTCCGAGGCAGAGCTTGGGGTGCAAGTCACTTGCTCATACTTCACCCTAATTCCTTTTCATAGCATTTGCTTATCTTAAAATGAATGAGGCACCTTCATGCTCTTAGCTGCCCATTTCTCCTTGCCCCTTCTAGAATGTTCCGTCAGGGTAGAGGCCAACTGTGCCTGCTGTCCAATACATGACTGCAAGTCTAATACCTAGAACAGTGCCCTGCACAGTAGGAGCTTAGCAAACATCTCTAGCCTCTCCCTCAGCAGGAATATTCTTTCAGAAATGAGCTGGTCCTGGTCAGTTATCTCAGACTTTAAAAAAAAACAAACTATCTGTTTTCTGATAAAAAAAAAAAAAAAGCACTGTTTGTCAACCATGAGAAAATAATTTCAGGGCCACACCAGAATCCTGGGTGGGGAGTGACTAGGTTGGCGTCCCTGCCTCTGCTCTCAACTCCAGCCTCCTGTCCATGCCCACGCAGGCGGGCAGCAGTGACGGTCCCTGCCGCCCTGCGGGGAGCTGAGTTGAGTTGCAAGGGTGCTGGCTTAGGCCTGACCCAGCAGCTGTGGGAATTCGGGGAGTAAATCCAGAGTTAGAAGACCTCCTTTCTCTCTGTGTCTTTCAAAAAATACGGATAACATTTTGGAATCCGTGGTTTCACTCGGGAGATGGCCCCGGTCACGGAGGTCTGCAGGGAAGTTGTAAGCAGGTTGCTGGTGCGGGCAGCTGGGTGCATCTGGGGGGGGGCCTGTTGGGGGTCTGTGTCGAGCATGCCTCCTACTTACCAGCTTGGAGTGAGGAAGCCGGGGCACAGCCTGTCACCAGTCTGTGTTGAGGGGAGACGGTGCCTGCTCAGCCTTTCCGGTATCCCTTGGGAAGAGGTAAAGCCACTGCTGGGGCCACAAGCCCCTACCACTCACTTAGAGGACCCAGACGGAGTTCCAGGCCTGTCCCGCCCTCAGCTCTTATGGACATTCCCGGAGAGAAACAACAGGGAAAAAATCTTTCATTCTCTCTTTCAAAAAAAAAAAAAAAATGAAAATCAAAGTCTGAAACTGGAGCTTTAGCGATGGCCAGCTTTGTGCCACTGCTCAGGTCTCTGGCATCCCATATTGGAGGCCCGGGTAGGCCAGCCACTCCATGTCTGACCCAGCCCCTGCTAATACACCTGGGAAAGCAGCAGAAGAGGGCTCCAGTGCTCGGGCCCCTGCACCCATGAGGGAGACATGGCTGAATTCCTGGTTCTTTATGCTGGTCCAGACCTGACTGCTGACATCTGGGGAGCAAATTAGCAGATGCAAGACTGCTCTCTCTCTTTTTTTATTAGTAAGTTAATAAATCTGGTTTTTAAAAAAGATTTATTTTCATTAAAAAGATAGATTTTCAGACAGAAGGAGAGACAGAGAAAGAGCTTACATCTGCTAAGTTCACATCCCAAGTGGCCACAAACAGCCAGAGCTGAGCCGTTCTGAAGCCAGGAACCAGGGTTTCCTCTGGGTCTCCCACGTGGGTGTGCGCCATTGGGGGCATGAACCAGATGAAAGACTTCTGTCTCTTCTTTGCTCTGGGTCACTCTGCCATTCACATAAATAAATACATCTAAGACATAAAGGGAGTAAATCCAGAGTCTAAAATTTTTGAAAGAAATCAAATATGAGATTGGTTTAAGCCTGCCAGGTAGAGGTGTGGTTGCATCATCCTCATATTTCCCCCCGCAGGCTAATCCTTGGTGGTGTAAGCGATTAGGGCAAATTAGCTATGCTCAGGTGTGCTTTTGACTTAAGTAGCACCCTTCAGCTCAGGATTACTAAACATCATTTATTTTTACCTTAGGGAGACTCTGCGAGACTCCAGCCCCCAAGAGAAAGTTAAGAATAGAAAGCAAACGGGTCATCAGCCTGGGCTGCAACCACACATTGTGATTCACTCCTCATCGGAAACTTGGTTCTCTAAATAAAGCGCATCCTGGTCCTTGCAGGAATCCAAGAACCACAGAATGCGCAGTCAAGGCAAGACACGCCACTAACAGACCCTTCTAGTCATTTGCTTGAGAAGCAGGTTGCATGGATTCAGTTCAGATTCTGGATTCCTGAGGCAGAAACCGGGTGAAGTGGCTAAATCAGTGTCTGGGACACCCACAGCGGAGTGCCAATGTAACATTGCAGCTACTCCACTTCTTGTTCAATTTCCTGCTAAGTAGCAGGTAATGGCTCAAGTACTTATGCCCTGCTTAGGAGAGCAAGGTTAGTCCCAGGCCCCTGGTCTCCGGCTAACCCAGCCGCTTCTGGTGCGAGCATCTGGGGAGATGAGAAGTAGCTGTGTGCATACATCTCTCTGTATCTTGCCTTCAAGTAGAGGCAAATGAGTAAATTTCCATAACAATTAGAGACAATTTTGGAAAGGAATATGGATTCATAGGCTTTCCTGCAGAGAGTTCAGGGCACCCACCCCACAGCATGGTCCCTCGGCACTGGAGAACATGGCAGACATCAGAGGGTAACTCAGCTTCCCCTTGCCCTCACCCTCGCCCTTTTTCCTAAAACCTAGAAAGAATTCTCTGACCTTCCTCCAAAGCAGGGTCAAAGCAAGGTAGCTGGCCTTCTCTCCGAAGACAGAGAAGAATCCAAACAAACAGGCCCTGCTGACATCCCCCAGCTGGCTCCCTCCAGGTCACAGCTCTTTCAGTCAATCACGTTTCTCCCTGCCAGCCCACTCTTCTTCGCAGCTTCCCTGCCTCCTCAGGCCTTCATATACCCCTGCACACGAAAGTCCCGTGAAATGACGCTGCCAACCTGCCGTGGGCTGCAGAGACTCAGCCGCACTGCTAACATAGGAAGAAGGCAGCTCCCTTCGTGTCGTGTGGCTTCCGAGATCCCTGTGTGGATACCCAGCCCTGCCCGCAGTGGCCTCACAGGAACACTGGTCTAGCACGGCTGGATCCCCCGTGGCATCAGCAAACAGCAAGAAGGTGCTGGTTGGCACAGGGCTCAGGGACCTTGGCATGCAGAGGTTGAATGCCAGCCCTGTTAAACGCAAAGGCTGCTGGTGGAGGGTGCAAAATGCTACCAGCACTTTGAAAAGGAATGTCAAAGTCACCAGAAAAATTCAACGTAGACCCAGCCTAGGTACCATCATTGCACCCTTCACTGTTTACTAAGGGACCAAAGGGGCACCTGTGTCCACACATACCCATGAATGTCCATTTCAGTAATCACCAACAACTGGTGACAACCCACACGTCCACCAGCAGGTGGGCTGGTAAATAGACCATGGCACATCCATGCCATCTAAGTCCATTGACTTACAGCACAGCAGCAAATGGGAGTGAACTGGTGATACACAAGACAGAATGGGTGAATGGCAAAATAATCCCTCAAGCAGTGACATAGCTGTTGCTGCGTTCACACTCACCTCTCTTCGTGCAAATTTCTGTGTGTAGAATTGATGGATTAGGTGGCACACCTTAAGTTTCTGGACATGAAATTTCATGTTTCTGTTGCAACCCTTACCCCCATTGCGTAAAATGTCTCTTTCGCTAAGTCCTCACCAACAGTGCCTATTACATAGCTGTTCAAACATCTCTGCGGACTGCGTCATCATGGTGGTATTGTGTTTTTTTAAAATAATTTATTTTTATTGCAAAATCAGATTTACAGAAATAGAAGGAGAGACAGAAAAATCTTCCCCCTGCTGATTCACTTCCCAAGTGACTGTAATGGCTGGAACTGAACTGATCCGAAGCCAGGAGCCCAGCGCCCCTTCCGGGTCTCCCGTGCAGGTGCAGGGTCCCAGGGCCTTGGGCCGTCCTCAGCTGCTCTCCCAGACCACAGGCAGGGAGCTGGATGGGAAGTAGGGTCACCAGGATTAGAACCAGTGTCCATATGGGATTCTGGTGCATGCAAGGCAAGAATTTAAGCCACTAGGCTGCCATGCCAGGCTCAAGTATATTTTCTTTTAGAGATGATGAAAATGTTTTGGTATTAAATTGTGGGAATGGCTACACATCCTCATGAATATGCTAAAAAAAATCACTGAATTATACACTTTAGAAGGGTAATATCATAGTATGTGAGCTATGTGATTATCTAAATTAAAATAAGGAAGGAGTTGGTGCTATGGAGCAGCAGGTTGAGTTGGCACCTGCGCACCAGCCTCCCCAGTGGACAACAGTTCAAGTGCCGGCTCCACTTCCAATCCGGCTCACTGTTAATGTGCCTGGCAGCAGCAGAGGATGGCTCAAGTCCTCAGGCCCCTGCCAGCCAAGTTGGAGACCTGGGATAAGCTCCTGGCTTCAGCCTGGCCCAGCCTCAGACATTACAAGCCATCTGTGGAACAAACCAGCAGATGGAAGACGTCTCTGTCTCTCCTTCCCTCTCTATTACTATGCCTTTCCAACAAATAAATAAATCTTAAAGCGAACAAAGTAAAAACTTGTCATGGCAAGAAAAAGCCGAGACAATTCAATGTCACATGGTGTTCCAGATGGGACACAGCACGGAACCAGAAGTAAGATAAAAACCCAGGGGTTCTGGAGTGTTGATGTTGCTTTCTTAGTTATCACAATTGGACAACAAATATCCAAGATGTTTAGAATTACAGGGAAAGCTTAGGAGAAACTGGACATGGGGTATTACAGGAACTCCATTCTATGTGGTGTTTCTGTAAATCTACACTGTTCTGAAGCTTCAAGCATGTTGAAGAACACTTGCTATAGATAGCAGAATGGTTAAGACACCACTTGGAGTTCCCAGGTCCCAGGTCTGACTGCCTTGTTCAAGTCACGGCTCCACTTCCAAGCCAGCATACTATTCGTGCCCATCCTGGGAGGCAGCAGGTGGCTCAAGGACCCAGTCTCTAGCACCCACACTGGGAATTTGAGTTGAACTATCTCTTGACTTTGGCCTGACCCAGGCCTGGACGTTGCCAACATTTGGGGGAATGAATTAACAAACAGAAGATCTCTATATGTTTGTCATCTTTCTGTCTGCCTTTCAAATAGAATGAAAATAAATTTAAAAACAAAAATTGGCCAGGGCAAACCCAGTTATAGTCATTGGGTCCTCTTGAAGACACACACGTATTCTTGCCTTTGGCTGAATGACCCAGGCTATTCTGATTTTATCACCAGGAACCGGAGCCCAGCTGTAGCCTGATGGGGCGCCAGGGACGCTGTTGGCCAGGCTGAGGATAAACACAGCAGTTCTCTTCTCAGCCCGCCTCTGACCACAACCACCTTCCTTCCTCCTCAGGCACCGAGTCACGCTGCTGGTGAGTGCTGATCCTAGCAGAACTGTAGGCTTGACCAATATCAGGAGACGACAGTAGACCTGCCTGAAAAGACTGACATGGTGTCAGCAGGTGGCCAGCTTCAGCCTGAATGCCAAGGCTTGTGACTGGGGGATCAGATGCTGCAAGGCTAAGCAGGTGTCAAACTTCCAAATGACACGGGACATTAGGGGACATCTCAGACACCAGTGTGCAAGCTTGCACGGTGCAGAGCTGTAAAAGGGGGAAAAAAACTGCTTTTGCAGAAATACCTGGGTTATCCATATATTCAACGGGGAAAAAAAAATACTACCTGAAACTGGAAATTGTACCCGTCTTATAAAACAGTATGTACACAGGAGGCAAAATTGTGGTTGAAGAGGTTTACGTCACGGCGGGAGGGTGGGGTAAGAGCAGGCGGTGAGCATCACTCTGCAAAGTCATGGAAGTTCACTGAAGTTACTGCTTTAGCAGCAGGAGAAGGGGGAACTGTGTGTGTGTGTGTGTGTGTGTGTGTGTGTGTGTGTGCGTGTGGCAAAGTCATGTGTGCTCCCTTTTCTGAAAACATCTGTGACTCTTCCCATGACATCTTGCACAGGGTCAAGGCCAAATGCTTTCCCAAGATTAACCTCCTGCAAAAGCTTGAGCCACAGCACTGCAGGACAGAAACAGCCGAGTTCTCGGCTCCTCTAGTTGCTCGGCAGGCTTTCCTAAAATCCACGGCAAGGATAATAATCTTGAAAGCCAATGCTTTGGATTTGTAAGATTTGTGAAGAAGGTGAGCTTCTCTCCCCCCTAAGTCTTTATGATCAAAACTGGATTCAAAGGAAATCCCTGAAGGCACCATGCCAACAAGCTTTGGCCACATGAAACACTGGATTACCGCAGGGGAACCTCAGGCAGGTCACGCTGTCCTTCCCTGAGACTAAAGCTTTTCGGAAGAAAGGAGAGCATCCCTGGGGAAGTAACTCAGACCCCCAGGAAGTGGGAGTGGGTGAGGCACCATCCACCCATCTTTGACTCAGCTGGAAAAGCAGCTTGGGTCTGTTTTCTAGTCTCATTACTTGTATAGATTTTTTTTTTAATTTCCAAAATAATTTTAGGGGGCTCAGACTTTTGGCCTGTTGATTAAGAGGCCATGTGCATCCACATCAGGTACCTGGGTTCAAGTCCCGGCTACACTCCCCATCCAGCTTCCTGCTGATACAGAGCCGGGAAGCAGCAAGGAGGGTTCAGGGAGTTGGAGATTGGGGTTGAATTGACAGGTTTCCAGTCTTGGGTTGGTCCAGGCCGAGTTGTTGCAAGCATTTGAGGAGTGAATCATTGGATTGAGTTCTCTCTCTCCAATACAGAAATCATTTTTGTTGTTGTATATCACATAGAAGCTGAGAGCCTAGTGAGGAGGTCCTGACACCTATACAGAAGAGACTGCCTGGAGAGTGTGGGTGGACTGGGATGGACGGATTCAGATTCCGTGGCTCTACTGGTTTGTTGGGATGTGCCAGCCCCTCAGTCCCAGGCTTCCCTCCTCCTCTGCTGCCTGGGCTCACCCTCGCCCTTTTGGCCTTTCATCTGAATATCATGGCAATTTCAAGAGGTTTCCGACAGGGTGTGGCTGAATCATAACGTTTGAGGTCCTCTCAGGACGGGCACCTGCTGGGGGCACATCCTGGAGTTGGGGACTGCCTACGGAAGAGCTCCGCAAGAACTTCACAAACGTGCTCACCCTCCTCAGAGCAGCCTCGGGGAACAGCGGTGGTTTTTGATAATGGGGTCTCAACCTCTGAGGCCAGACAGGTTGAAAAATGTGTCCAGGGCCACACAGCAATTGCCTGGGGGGCGGGGGGCAGTTACCAGACAAAGGACAGGAAGGCAGAACACAAAGCTTCTAGTGCTCCAAATTACCCATTGCTCATTTGAAATTAAAATTTAGCTAGGTGACCTATATCTTTTTATTTATTTATTTTTATTGCAAAGTCAGATATACAGAGAGGAGGAGAGACAAAGAGGAAGATCTTCCGTCTGATGATTCACTCTCCAAGTGATTGCAGTGGCCGGTACTGCACTGATCCAATCCGAAGCCAGGAGCCAGGAACTTCCTCCAGGTCTCCCACATGTGTGCAGGGTCCCAAGGCCCTTGACCAGTCCTCGACTGCTTTCCCAGGCCAAAAGCAAGGAGCTGGATGGGAAGTGGAGCTGCCGGGATTAGAACCGGCGCCCATATGGGATCCCGGCACGTTCAAGGCGAGGACTTTAGCCACTAGGCCGCGCTGCCGGACCCTATTACAATACTTTTCAAATAAATATATCTTTTTAAAATACAGTTTATTTAATATTAATATTTTTAATTGGAAAGTCAGATTTACAGAGAAAGATCTTGTGTCCACTGGTTCACTCCCCAGGTGGGCACAATAGGCAGAGATGAACTGATCCAAAGCCAGGTGCCAAAATTAAAAAGAATAGTAATAATAAAAATAAAATGAAAAAGCCAGGAGCTTCCTCTGAGTCATCCATGCAGGTGCAGGGTCCCAAGGCTTTGGGCCGTCCTTGACTGCTTTCCCAGGCCACAAGCAGGGAGCTGGATGGGAAATGTAGCAGCTAGGATATGAACCAGCGCCCATATGGGATCCCGGTGGATGCAAGGGAAGGACTTTAAGCACTGGGCTACTGCATCAGGCCCAAATAAAAAAAAATCTTTAAACAAAAGAGAAAGAGGAGGAAGAAAGGAAGGAAGGGAGAGAGGGAGGGAGGAAGGAAGGAAGGAAAGAAGAGAGAAAAGAAAAGAAAAAGAAAAAGAAAAAAAATCTCCCAGATTTCCCATGTGCCTAACTGCTAAGTTATTCCCCTAAATGACCACAACAGGCAGGTTTGTGCTGAGCCGTTCCAAAGCCATGCCCAGTTTTCCACATGGGTGGCAGGGGCCCAATTACTTGGGCTAGCTTTGGTTACCTTCCTGGGCACATTAGCAAGAAGCAAGATCACAAACAAAGCAGCCACCCATCAGACCGGCGCTCTGACGTGGGATGCCAGTCCCTGCTGTGCCACAACACTGGCCACAAGGAAGTAAATATTTTAAAAGAAATTCTAGGGCCCAGCGCAGTAGCTTAGTGGCAAAAGTCCTTGCCTTGCACACACTAGCTCAGCTCCAGCTGTGTCAGCTCAGCTCCGGCTCAGCTCCAGCTGTCGCCCCTTGGGGAGTGAATCATCAAGCGGAAGATCTTCCTCTCTGACTCTGCTCCTGTCTGTATATCTGACTTTGCAATAAAAATAAAATAAATCTTTTTTTTTTAAGTTTTTAAAAATAAGTTCTAACATGGGACAGGTGTTTGGTGTAGCAGCTAAGACGCCACTATCCTGCCCCACATCAAGACATTCCTGTCCTGCATCGGGACATTCCTGCCCCCCGTTGGAGTTCTGCCTCTGAATCCAGTTGCCTGCTGATGTGCATTCTGGGAGACAACAGGTACACGGGAGACTAGATTGAATTCCAGCTTCCTGGCTCAGCCTGGACCAGCCCTGAGATTGCAGGCATCCAAGAAGTGAACCTGTGGCTCAAGGATCGCTCTATTGGTCCAGCCACTTTGACTCAGTGTCTGCATCCGTAAGAACAGGCTTGATGATGACAGTATCGGGGTGGGTGTTTGGCACAGCAGCTGAAGTTACTGCGCAGATCGGTTGCATCCCATATTGGAGTGCCTGGTTTGAGTCCCAGCTGCTCCACTTCCAAGTCACCTTCCTGCTAACACACTCCCTGACAAGCAGCAGGTAATGGCGCAAGAACTTGGGTCTCGGCCACCCGTTTGGTAGACAAATTGAGTTCCAGGCTTTTGGTTTCAGCCTGTCCCAGCTCTGGCTGAGTGTGGGCATTGGAGAAGTGAATCAACAGATGGGAGATTCTCTCTCTCTCTCTCTCTCTCTCTCTCTCTCTCTCTCTCTGCCTTCTAAGCAAAGTGAGAACACATGCATGGAGTCATAACGATAACAGTACATTGCCCAGAGGTCCGTGTGAGGACTGAGTGAGTGAGCCCTGCAGTGCTTGCCTCACGCGAGTGAGGCATCAGGAAAGGCAATCTCTGAGGAGGGTCAGGAGTAAGAGAGCCAGCTCAAGCGCTGCGCAGCCCCTCCCTGCAGCGAACGCACAGGGCCGTCGTCCTCCGAGTGGGGCCACGGGGATCCTGGGCCATGGCTGCTGCCCAGAGACCTGATCAATACTGACAGAACCGATCGCTAAGCTGGCCGGGGGCTGCCTGTTGCGAGACGGGCAGGAGAGCTCTGCGAATAGCTGAGAACCAAACCCAAACAGGAACTGTGTTATCGCGAAGTAATTGGAGGGATGACTCCAGCATGTGACAGTGACTCAAAGCTCCCATTATTCCAAAGATTGTGTTTTGAAACAAATGTGTGATAGCTCAGAAAAAAGAAAAAAAAAAAGACAAAAAGAGGTAGAGGGGAGTTGGGAGAAGGGTGACAAACTGTGACAAATACTGTCATTAATGCAAAATTAGTATAGATGTTACATTCCAGAGGTTACCAAACAGCCTAGCTGAGCTCATCCATGCCTCATTATTGTGCCTAATAATTACCTTGACTAATTAGAGCAAAGGTTTTGGCGCATGCCCCTATTCCTAGACACTGAGTCACCAGTGACCCAGAATAACTCATTTTGCTCTGTTTGTGTCCTGGATCCTCCACATAAAAGCACTCTTGGCCAGCCCTTCAGGGACATTCCAAATGCCTCATGACTTGATACTTGGAAAACAGGATGGTTTGTGTATGTCAGGTCTGTAGAAACGTGACCTCTGCGTGTTCCGTGTGTGGGGTTCACCTGTTAATTGTGCAGGGACACTCCAGGTGCAGTTTGGCAAGCTCCGGCCTGACCCAGGACCCGGAAGGGCAACAGTGAGCAGGTAGGTAGGCCCTACCCTCACAGAACTGGCGGAGCAGGGAAGGTGAAGTCCCATGAGGAGAACGAAGCAGATCCTAGGAGGAGCAGTCTATTGTTG